TGTGAGAAACCAATAATGAGTGAGAAAGTCTACATTTGCTAGCTAATTGTATGGTACAAACAGCTACCAACAGAAATGCACAAGCTCCACATGCCTGTCAATTCTTAGTCTTAACTGTCTTAGAAGCTGCAGAGCCTCAAATGACGTCTGAAGAATAAGGCTCTTAAAATAAAGAATAACATTTAAGTGCATAGCTGTTATAGCCTCATTTGATATTCATTTTAATTGAAACGACTATAATGAATATGCTTTGCATTCAAACAGATGCTACAAGTGCTTCTAAGGAAGTTCCAGCATAATTCAGTCTTAGTTACAGAATGACTAAGTGGATATTTAAAATCAGACATTACCACGAAAGAGGAAAAAAACAATTACAGCAAGCGTTAGTTCCTTAAAATAACAAATTAGAGATTCTTATTAAATTCCCTTCTTTCTTATTTTGACTGACACACAATCCAGCACACAGGGAGCGTTGATATATTAGAAACTTCTGTGTTTGTGTCAGCTGTTCTACACAGTAGCTCACCTGGTTAGGAGAAACAGGGAGTGTGGGAAAGGACCCTGAAGAGTAGGCAGAAATCCGCTTTACAAAATCTAGAGACTGTTTCATCAATTGGATGAAAAACAACACTGTGTTAGTGTGATTTAGCTGAAAAAGCAGTCAATTATGTATGCCATTTTTAATTTACCTGGCCATAGAATCCCCATTCCTTTTAGTCTTCCCCAACATAAAGGACTTAAACAGGAGAGGCACAATGCGAGTTACAGTGTTTCCTAATGGTGGCTCATAAAACCACCTGTGAATGTTTGCTGTAAGCAGTCATTACTGAATCCCAACAAAATCCCAACAAAACCTGTGTGGAGGACCCAGTATTGCAATAAGCAGCCAGGAAAAGGGGATGCTTGTTTATCCTTAGACAGAAATACCTGAGGTTTCATAAGGGAATATTTGAAGCTATGCACTTTTATTCAAATTAGCAAACATCGATCAAGAACAGATCCTGTGTGAATGAAAGAATGATAGGGTATTTCAGCAGAAGAGGAGGCAGAAACAATGTAAGAAACAAAAGGGGATGAAGAACACCAGGAAGACAAGGCCCTTGCAATGAAGTGAACGAAGCTCGTATGAATCCATAGATTGAAACAGCCAGCAGAGGGACTCTAAGGATCTGCAGTGGATCCTGGCCATGTATTTTATAGCTTCCAGGCTAGTATTTTTATGGGACTGCTGAGTGTGTGTATGAGTGGGTGTCTGACCCTTGTACCTGCTCTTGGGATCTTTCCTTCCCTTGGCCTGTCTTGTGCAACTTTGAAGTGACTGTTTTGGTTTGTCATTTTATATTTTATTTTGTTATTTTTTTTTGCTACCTCCTAGAAGTCTGTTCTCTCTAATGAGAGACAGAAAGGGAGTGGATCCTGATGGGAGGAGGGCTTGGGAGGAACTGGGAGGACAAAAGAGAGATGAAACTGTTATCAGGAATGAAAATGGAATATGTTTCTAATAAAAGGGGGAAAGGAAAGAATAATAGGGTGTTTCAGAATTGCCTGGTATACATAATGACAATTTTCAAAAATAATTTAGGTACAATGACAACCTATCAATATCATAAACACAATCTTGGTTTCTCTGAAAACATAAGTAAAATACCTGTATTTATTTCAAAAGTTAAAAATTCACTTGATTTCCATCAAGTGGTTCTTTCTTGAAAAGGTCATCTTGAGGTCAAAGGAAAAAGTGTTTACTTAGAAAATGTAACTAACATACTATAAAACAAGTTCATTGTTGAGTTTGTCCCATGACTGCATTAAAATATCTTTACAAAATGCAACATAAGGAAGAAAGTTTTTATTTGGCTCACAGTTCAAGGCTAGAGTCCATAGTTTCAGGGAAGTTAAGGCAGGAGCTTGAAGCAACTAGTCCTATTTATCTACCATCAAGAGTTAGGAGGAATGAATTAACCCATACATGCTGGTGGTTAGTTTTCTATACTCATAGGCAGATCTCCTGCCTAGGGAATGCTGACACCCACAGTGGGGATTTCTTCCCTCAAATAAGTAACCAACCAATGTGATCGCCCACAGATGAACCTGATCTATATAAACTCTTTTTGATGCTCACTTCTGAAGTGATTCTAGATGTTTCAAGTTGACAGAATCATCACGTCTCTTCTTTTTCCTAAGTTTTGTATACAATATGTTATTTTTAAAGGAGAGTAATAGGTGTGTGAGATTCCTTGTGGCTGATAGGAAAAGTGAAGGAAAGAAGGAAGACTACCTATTAGACCAAGAGGAATAAAGGTCAGTTGCCTTAAAAAAGCCAAGTCAGTTCTCCTGATACCTAAATTGTATGTTATTGGCATACTTATTTGACAGCTCTAATGTATTTTTTTTTAAAAAAACTATTATTTTTTAATTACTAGACAAATTTGCTAAAGAAACTTTGACTGTACTAATGAAGTACCAAGATTTCTTTCTGATGAACAATTTGTCCAACTTCTCTCTCATACCAGGACCGGAGACTAATTAACTGAAATCTGTGAACAGAGCCTCTTTGAGCAACATTCACTCATGAAACTGAGAAAAACAAGCTGACGAGATTAAGTAACAACTCTTTCTGTCCTTGGTTTTTCCAACGCCATTGGCTGATGCTTGCTAGCAATTGAAGGAGGTCCAATAAAAATTTCTGAGAGCAGTGAAGGGCAACAGAAACACCTGTTGGGCTATGTAGAATTCTCAAATTCTCAGAGTTGGTCTCCAGCCCATTCAGATTTGACATCATCTGACTACTCACCATGTGTCTGCTAGAACTGCCAAGCATAAAGCCATAGGCAGGCAGGAAGTTGAGCAAAGGGAATGCATCCCTTGTTCTTGGGATGAAGGAGGCCTAAGTTCAAGGAGCTGTCAGATTAAGTTTGTCATGACCAGGCCTCCTTGCCGTGTCTATGCATGGTGAATAGAGAGTGAGGAAAAAGAGACAGCAGACAGAGAGAAAGGAGAGTTAAAGACGAGAGAGACAGACACATAGAGAGAGAAAGTCTGAGGGAGATTGCAAGGGAGATGGGGAGAGATATCTTTTTGTTTTGTTTTGTTTTTGTTTTTTGAGACAGGGTTTCTCTGTGTAGCTTTGGAGCCTATCCTGGCACTCGCTCTGGAGACCAGGCTGGCCTTGAACTCACAGAGATCTGCCTGCCTCTGCCTCCCGAGTGCTGGGATTAAAGGCGTGCGCCACCAATGCTCGGCAGCGAGAGATATCTTTAATCTTCTTTAAGGCTCCAGTCCTGCTGGGATTAGGACATCCCCATTCTGACTACATTTAACATTATTATGTACTAAATGACCTATCTCCAAATGTAGCCACTTTGGGAACAAGGGCTTCCACATCTACATTATGGAGAAACACAGCTCATTTCATGACACTCAAAACAAATATGTACCCTCAACCTCATTTTAGATCTGCTATTCTGGAGTGGAGCCAGACAGTTCTTTCCTGACTCCTGTGTGTTGTTCTCAAGCAGGCTCAGGAACAAGCAGGCTCAGAAGGACAGGTCAGAGACTCAGCCCAAAGCATAGCTGATCTATGTGCTTACTTCCCAACCCAGGCTTTCTGACCAGCACCGGAAGGGCCATATCACATCTACTGCCATCTATTCCACAACACCAACCCGGGAACTTTTTTCTGCCTTTCAGTGACATATGACTTCAACATGACAAGCATAATCATCTTTCTGCCAAACAAAACAAGCCCTGATTTTCTAAACCTATCACCTTTATATTTTCAGATTTTACTCTCCTGGAGTCCATGGTGTACACTATAAACACCAGTGGCACAGAAAGAACACACAGTCATCTCAAAATCATCAAAAATTTATTTTTATCTCTAACTCTTCTCCAAAAGATGTAAAGATCTAACCCGGTATAGATTCAGGGCATCTCAAGCCCACTAGTCTTGGACACAATGCAATGTTATAATCTTGCTTATTAATTAAAAATGTACCTTTTATGTCTTTAAATGCCATAGACCTCATAGACATTCTTACCCTAATGTGTTAGAAACAACATGGAAAACTGAGGCAGGATAACAAAAGATCCATAGTAGAACATGATCTGTAATAGTTAGATTACATCCTTGAAAATTGTTCTTGCCACAAAAGGCAAGGTATGTACATTCAAATTAGCTTGATTTAGTTATTCTGCAATCGTATTTCAAAACATGCTGCACATGACAAATAGATAACGGTTTTACTTACTGTGTAAGATAAGCAAAGACCCACAAAGGTGTTCAGGTTCAATGAATCTCACAGCTGCAAATCTGAAAGCACTACTCCCCTCCCCCATTCCAGGCTCGTGGTGCTCATTTTTGCTTTGGTGTTATGGACCAAAGGGTGCCTATCTTTGCTTACATCTTAAATTTGGTGTCATGCCTCACCCCCAACACACAAGACTTTCTTGCAGAGAAGGTGTTTTCAGTATAACTTTGGGGGCCTTCTTTATTCTTTAAACCCCAGTCTTGTGCTTACTGTCATGATAGAAACTTCAGGCTGGGTTTCTTGAGACAGATACTGTTAAATGACAGTTAAAAGCCCTGAAATCTCTCACTGCTTTATACCAGATTTCTTGGCAGACAGCCTTCGGAAGGCTTTCATCCCTGCATTAAAGACACCAGAGGAAACTCAAAGAACATCACTTGAAAACTCACAAGGAGCTCTGACAGACTTCTGCCCAAGGCAACTGCTTGATAAATGAGCATTAACACACCTTGTATATGTACATACAACTGAAAAAAATCCATAAACTTAAAATAATGGAATTGGTTTAAAACCAATGCATTCTGAGCTTCACTGTCGAAAAAACAATCCCAACCACAGGACTTATTTACAGCCATCTGCACATCGAAGACCGAACTGGACAATAAGATAATAAGCCACACCTGTTGGATTGTTCAGGCGATTACAAACACCAGCTGAGAAAGTAATTAAAAACAATGTTCCATCGCAGCATACCTGGGGTGTTCAACAACCTGGACATCCTGCAGAAGTAGGAGACGTACTGTTCACAGTATTCGGCACTGCTGGTGATGGCACTGATCTGGTCCATGGAGGCACTATAGATGAGCTGTGTCACCGAATACTTTTCTGGGTTGTAGCCCACCACTGTTGTCTGCATTTGTAAGTCATGAGACACTATGGTCCACACCTTGTCCTCTGTGGGCAGAGAAATAATTAAGACAGTGGCTCATTAGTACTCTGCTCTTTCAAATGTCAGAAGATAATTGAGCTACATTTTAGCTGCTGTTTCCATTAAACTGGTATAAAGGTGAGTTAAAGGGAGCAATCATGACAGTATTCTGTGCGTGTGTATGGTGCATTTGTGGTATACACACATATGTGGTATGTATGTGTGTTAAATGCTCATGTGTATATGTGTGCATGCCTGCCAGAGTAGAAAAACGTGTCAAGTGTTTTCCTCAATCATATTCTACTGTACTTTTTTTAAAAAAAGATTTATTTATTTATTATGTACATAGTATTATAGTTTCATATATGTCTGCAGGCCAGAAGAGGGTGCCAGATCTCATTGCAGATGGTTGTGAACCAACATGTGATTGCTGGGAATTGAACTCAGGACTTCTGGAAGAACGGCAAGTGCTCTTATCCCTGAGCCATCTCTTCAGCTCCCCCTACACACTGTACTTTTTAAAAAAATGCTTTTGTAGTATCGATCCATTAATATAACCAAGATCTGACTACTTTTTTTCTTTCATCACTTAATTGCAGTGAACTCACAAATAAAAACACCACTCTGCTAGATTAAGAAAAGCCACTCAAAGCCTAAACTCTGTACATCTGAATGGACTCTTATCTATTTAGAATAGCCTTTCTGAAGCAATGGAGCTTTGCATAGTTCTTATACTTTCATTTTAAATTATGTTTTTATTGACTTATCTACCATAAAAAAATCAATGGCAGAATTGAAGCTAGAAGAACAATTAGCTTTATGTCATCTTCCATAACTACGTGTCCTTTTATCTGTATTTTGTTCTTCCTTGTCACCGTGGACACAATACATACAGTTCAGGATCCACATGAGTGAGAACATGAGTATTTTTTCTTTTTATTTTATAGTTTGTGTCACTTTGCTTAATATTATATGTCCCAAGCCCACCCATTTTCCTGAAAATTTCATTTTTCATTTACAGCTATTCCATTTTTCAAATGTATCATACTTCCATTATCCCACCTTACTTTTTGAGATGGGTTCTCTTATGGAATGTGAAGCTCAGAACTTTGACAGGGTTGGCCAGCTAGCAAAGTCCAAGGATCTGCCTATTTGTATGCCCAATGTTTGGATTTCCTAAGACATATAGCCATCCCATCTTTTATATGGGTGCTCGGGATTTGAACCCAGGCCCTCTTCCTTTCATAGAAATTTCTCTTAGCTGATGTGCTATCTTCCTAGTGCTGTCTTTTTTATCTTAGATTTATGTTTTGCTTATAAGAACAAAGTAGAAAAATAATATTTTACTAAAATAATGAAAGACATTTCCCTGACAGAAAAGAGTATTGTTTCTGGTTGGGATTTTGACGTCTGTCTACAGTTCCAGTATGAAGCTCACTGTATGCCTACTCCTTCCTGATTTTGAAACCTACCACTTGCCTTCTGGTAACTCAATTATCTGAAGTGACCTCCATGCCATCAAACCATAGCCCTTCTTGAAAGCTCTATGCTTTTAACAGAATATGAACCATCCTTGTGAACAGATGTTCATTCACACTGGCATTTCTGACAAATGAGATACTCCCTTTTCTGATATTGAACTATCCCATACAGTGTGGAGTAAGGTGAGAGAATAATTATCATTGCGTTAGGGAACCTGGTAGTCTCAAAGAAAGAAAAGTGGAATCCATTATAAGCTTTATAAAATTAAATTAACTAAAACTCCTTCTCTATTTGAATTTTAATTGAAAACATCAGTATGAACCTAAGACAATATCTTTGTTTTGAAATGTTGACCTATGCATGAACTTAGTACAATAAAAAAATTTTCAGAACAAGATGCTATGCCTAATAACAAATGCCGCCATTAAATACTATTTGCCATTAAGAGAAGAAATTAGGATCTGTGAAGAAATAACTACTTTCTGGGCTGTAAATGAACGTGCTGAAAGGAGAGCCAAAGACAACCCATCATTCCAGAAACAAATATGCCATTGGATGTAGAGCAATTTAAAAGATCCTGTAAGAAAATAGGCATGGTGTACATGACTGTAACCCTAGAACCATGGAGGGCAGAGACAGGAGGATAACTGTGACTTGCTGCTGTTGGCCAAGCTTCAGGTTCAGGGAGAGGTCCGGTCTTAAGACAGTAAAGGAGAGAGTAATTGGTCAGAATGACCAATGCTCCCCTCTGACCTCCATATGCACAACATACAGACACATACAAGCACACATGAGCACACCACACACACTTAAAAAGAGTGACTATATTCAGCATAGGTAAAGGCAAAATGAAAGTAAAATTTAAAACTTTAAGGAAAATATACATATTGAAACTACAATTAAAGCTGGCATTAGTTATATTTGAGAAATTATTTATCCATAGTACAAAAATAAAATTTAATCCATATCTTCAACACTACTTCAAAAACTATTTCAATTGGATTAGAGTCTTAAGAGAAATGTGGACTTTCAGATAAACATAAGGAGACATAAAAGAATGTTTATATTATTTTTAAACAAGGCATAAAATGAGGGCATAATCATGGCAAAACCATGTGAGTTTGTTAAAAGTAAACTATCTTCATCATCGAACTATCAGAAGTAGTGTGAAAAGTTAAGCCCTGGATTAGAAGAGATATTTATAAAATATAGAAGCAACAAAGATCAGCACCTAGCTACATTAACAGAACCTAAAAATTATAACAGAAATAATCCAAAAGAAATGACAGGGATATGCATTTTTCCATCCAAAAGAAATGACATGGATATGCATTTTTCCAAGTGGATCAGAAAAGTGGGGCAATAAAACATGGGGAAATATACCTATGTCATAATCAGGGAAATACAAATTAAAACTACAGTGATTTTATTTTGTGTTTATCTGACTGGCAAAGCAAAACGTTTGATCTTACCTCAGTCAGAACAGCCAAGATCAATAAAACAAATGATAACACATGCCAACAAGGATTCAAGGAAAGTTGAACACTTATTGCTGCTGGTGGTAGTACAAACTGGTAAAGACACTACAGAAATCCTTAGATAACCAAAAATAGTTCTGCAATCACATACAATTGTATCACTTTGGGGCATTTACCCAAAGGGCTCTCATACTACTGCAGAGACACTTGTTCATCTGTTTTCTGCCGCTCTATTTATAAAGGCCAGAACTTGTCAACATCCAAGATATCCATGAAGTAATGAATGGACAATTAGCATGTGGTACATTTTTACACAGTAGAATATTATTCAGCTGTTAAGAAAAATGAAATTATAACATTTGCAGATAAATGGATGAAGCTAGAAACAATTATCCTGAATGAGATAACCCAGACCTAGAAAGACAAATGTTTAAGTTTTGGTTATATGTGGATGCTCGCTTTGCTTTAGATATACATATTTCATTTGGAATAACCACAGACATTAGATAGCTAGTAAGGACCAAAGAGGGAGGAGGAGATTTTTCAAGGAAAGGGATATAGAATATAGGGTTATAAGGAAATAAAAGGGAATCTAGAACAGGCGGATTGAATGTGGAGGGTGTGGGGGACAGACTAAAGTAGTTGATATGGAGAGGAATGACTAACCCTTAAATCCTTTTGAAAGCTCATATGGAATCCTACTACTATAGAATGTTCCTAAAATTTACATATACATAAATTATGTATATATTATGCATAAGGTATATGTATGTAGGTAGGTATGATGAATTTAAATGGAATCACCATATAATGAAGAAGATAATGCCCCAAATAGACATCTTTATGCCATCAAATGAAACCTCCAGGAATGGATTACATCTTAAGTTGTTGGCGGTCCCCAAACATCAAAAACTATTTCCAGTGCTATTGGCTACCACACACAACCTGATGATAAGGCCCTATTGCTGAAGACATTGCTTACTTAAAACATAGAATTTTGAAAAACAGAGCGGATTCCCAACTGGAAGCTTCACTAGTACTGGTTAGTGTATAGTGACAGGAGGTGCTATACAAGCTACTGGAGTAGAAAATAACCATCAATCCCACCCAGGTATGGAACCTGTGAGCTATAATAATGACCCGACTGCAAGATATACCAATTGATATTAAATTGTCACAATCTTAGAGTAGTAGCCAACCACATTTTGATTGAATTTAAGGCTCATTACATGATATGGAACCCATACCTGACAGTATGAATGAGGCCAAGAATTGATAGTTCATGGGTCCTATGGGGAAACCTACTATTTGTCTACTAAACAATCACAAAAACACAGTTACTCCTAATGACACACTGCTATGTCTGTAGATCAGTGCACTCCTCAACCCTCATCAGAGAAGCTTCTTTTTGTACCAGATGGAAATTAACAGAGACTCACAACTGGACAATGTGCAGAGACTGAGGGAATTTTGAATACTCAACCATAAATGGGGTGTCCTTATAAACCTTTATCCCCAAAGCTCTATGTGGAAGTTGGGGTTGAAAAGCTGTAAGAGGCAGAGGTTGTGGTCCATTTTAAGAAAAAAACAAACAAACAAACAAAACACCATTTTTAAGCCCAACAGGAATGATGCCTACATTCACTCACAGAGACAGTGACAGTGCACACATGACCCAAATAAGCTCCAGCAAGACAAAAATCTCAGCAAAGAGGTGGGGAAGTGGGCACAAAGCCATCAGGAAGCTATTTGCAAGTGAGAGCTGCTGGGAGAGGGGAAATCAGTATTTTTGTTGTTGTTGTTGTTGTTTCAATAGAGTGAAATTGAGTATATCAACCATGCTCAAGAGCAGGAGTAGTTAGCTGGCCAAAATAAATTGGACTCCATATTTTTTTTGTTTTATTATTTCTTTATAAAGATAGTAGATAGATAGATAGATAGATAGATAGATAGATAGATAGATGAGAGAGAAGGAGAGAGAGAAAATGAACTTGGCTTGTGGAGGTAGAAGATCTGGGAGAAATGGACACAAAAGTATATATTTTTTACAGCTCATAATAGTTTTT